TCCCTGTATTCAAGTGATCTTGCAACTTGGGAGATTACTGCAGAGCTTGGAAGACTACTTTTGAGTCTGCTCTCTGACTTATTTAAGCAAAATCAGATCTTTTGGTATTGACTTAGAACCCTTGTAGAATTCAAGTGAGCAATATATTTATCGCAATATTCAAACCAGATTAAGGGACGTTGAAAAACAAAACATTGAGTCAGCTGTGAATAAAAGTTGCTTCCCCAAGTTCTATGGTTTACAGATAACAGAGTCACTTATATCTCAAAATTAATAATTCCAGGCCTTTATGTTAGCCTGACTGAACGTTTCCTCCTCAGCTTTTGTGAAGGGCAGATATTTAAACATCCCCAGAAATAGCAGACATTGCTGATGCTCTCTGAATGTACCGGACATTGCAGAACATATCCTTTTCGGCGGTGGTCAAGATGGCGTCGGAGGGTGATTTGGGCAGGAAGTGGGACCGGTGCTTGGCTGACTCCGCCGTCAAGCTGGGTGCTGGCTTTGGGTTGGGTGTCGTCTTCTCGGTCATCTTCTTCAAAAGGAAGACGTGGCCCATCACTCTCGGGTCAGGAATGGGCTTAGGAATGGCTTATTCAAACTGCCAGCATGACTTCCGGTCTCCTTACCTTCTCCACGGGCGGTTTGTCAAGGAGCAATGACGCAGGCCCGACCCACGCCTCTCTTTTGCCAGAGGATCAGCGGCACCTTGGCAATTCCTTGGGAAGGTCGAAGCGTCCCGGCCTTGAGGCAACGGCCTTTGGAAGCACTCGGCCCGTTGCTCTTTTTTCCCCACGACACCTGGAACCGAATATCGTTTTGTGTTTTTTTTGTAATCCCTCTTTTGGAAACAAAAACGGGGAAGGTGCTGTTCTGGAAAGTGAAATAAAAACGAGAGTCCACCCCCTTGAAAAAAAGAAAAAAAAAAGAACATATCCTTTTCTACTGTCTATTGTACAACCAGCTGTGCTATCCCCTTATTTGGGTAGTCTAAAATCACGGCACAATGAAAATGTCAGATTCTATCTGTGTGACATTAACCCGGAAGTAACTGCAAGGGTGGCTGAGTTTTTTATCAACAGTATCAATCAGAGTGGTGAATGGCACTGTTTAGCAGGAAGAAATCCCAATGAAAATCCTCGTCATTATATACAGTGGTACCTCGGGTTAAGAACTTAATTCGTTCTGGAGGTCCGTTCTTAACTTGAAACTGTTCTTAATATGAGGTACCACTGTTGTTAATGGGGCCAGCCGCTGCTGCCATGCCGCCACCACACGATTTCTGTTCTTAACCTGAGGTACTATTTCTGGGTTAGCGGAGTCTGTAACCTGAAGCGTTTGTAACCTGAAGCATCTGTAACCCGAGGTACCACTGTATTTTACATGGCTCTTTATTTGTATATATTTTAAATTTTTATATATGGGTATTTTGTGGTGTTTTATGATGGCCTATACTAGTCCTGGGTGTGAGATGAGTGCTTAATTAAGTAACTGGCATGGCTTAAAATCAGAGATGGGAAACTGAATCCTCTTGGAGGGCCAGATGCAGTACTCCACCCCCATGGGCGACTGATAGCTGAGTGGGGCTGCTTTGAACCCATGGCTTGAAAAAGAAGAATCAGAAGTGCCGTCTAAATGTAGTCCTTTGCTACCCTGGCTTGCATTCAAGAGTTGCAAGGATTCTTCCTGCAGTTCAAGCAGTAGCTACAGTGAGCAACCCTTAATTCCTGCTTCTTCCTTTACAGATTTTGAATCTGAAAAGTGCATGAGTTTACCTGTCTCGCACCTGCTGCCACATGACCTGGTAACACAGGGCACTTGAGTAGCAGTCAAATGTAGTCCAAAAGCTTGCATCATGGTTTCGTTGTGGCGTGTTTTCCCTTTCTCCTTGGCAACTTTCATACCCTCCAACATTTCTGTCTTTTCTGTTTGCGTCTCACCATCTCTGGTGCACATATAGTTATGTACTTTTTGAACTTTCAGTAAACATTAAAAAAAAAACCAACCCAGTGGAATGCAATAAATAAATAAACAAGTTATTCCTGTTGACTGATTCAGATGGACCTCTTTGCTAAAAACCTGGATCTGGATGGGAATCAAGTATCTTACATAAGAGACATGCAAAAGAGGACCATTGGAATGAAGTCTACCTGTGAAATGCTTGTGGTTTACACCCACAGTAAAGTACTTGCTTTCTGTTTCCCTGGTCCTCAATCATCTTATCAATCAACACATAATTACAGATTTCACCATCTATCAGACGCAGGTCTCTATAATTTCCGATCCACTGTAGATATATCAACAATCATTAGCTGTTGCTAGCTAATCCTTCAAGTGTTTTTTGGCTTGAAGGTACCTTCCAGCACAGAGGCTTGGTCTGCTGGTTGGTTCTGCTAGTTTTGGATATATGAAGCATCTTAACAGTAAAGGTAAAGGACCCCTGGGCGGTTAAGTCCAGTCAAAGGCGACGATGGGGGTGCAGCGCTCATCTTGCTTTCAGGCCGAGGGAGCCGGAGTTTGTCTACACACAGCTTTCTGGGTCATGTGGCCAAGCATGACTAAACCGCTTCTGGCACAACAGAACACCATGAGAAAAGCCAGAGTGCACGGAAACGCCATTTACCTTCCCGCCGCAGCTGTACCTATTTATCTACTTTCACTGGCGTGCTTTCGAACTGCTAGGTTGGCAGGAGCTGGGACAGAGCAACAGGAGATTCGAACCACGGGGATTCAAACCGCCGACCTTCTGATCGGCAAGCCCAAGAGGCTCAGTGGTTTAGACCACAGCGCCACCCGTGTTGTGAAGCATCTTAACAGTACTGAGCTTTAGTTGGATCTGGCGTAATTGGACCACTCTTCGCTGTCAGGGGTGGGTCAAGTATATGCAGGAACACTAGTGGTGGTGGGGACTTCTGATGCTTGGAGAAAGGATTGCTGGAAAGGCACCCAGACAAAACCCCTCTTTGTTCAGACATGCCTCTGAAGCTCCAGCTCTGTGCATGCTTGCTTGAATTCCAGAGAATGCAGTAGGTTTTTACTTCTGAGTTATGAGAGCATCAGAAGCAGGCAAGCAGCAACAGTAGACGACGGTTTGGAAACTTTCTGAGGCCATCAGGACTGGGTGGGTTTTGGTGTGATCCAGGAAGGCAATTCTGATGTCCTTAAAGCTTTACCACCAGGCTCAGAAGTATTAGCTTTCCATTTCTCCCATGCATTGCAAAAGGAGTTACGGAGGCTTTTGACTTTGAGCAGGCTCTGAAAAAGGACACTGCCCAATTATTTATGCCCTGGGGGACTGAAGCGCTCACACCCCAGTTGTGTATCCCAGGAGAAACAACGGTAGTTAAAAAAATCAGGGTAGCATTGGTTGAGTTCCAGGTATAGAGCAATACATTTTTAAGTCCAAACCTGAAAATGGAAAGCGTAATGCTGGTGGTCAACAAAAGAGGTTTAAAAACTCCCCTGCGGATATGTGTTCACAGAGCGGTGTGCCTCTCCATAGCTAGATAGCTCCCTCTGCTCCACCCATCAGGAAGGAAGAGTCCTGATGATCCCTCAGTCCAAATGCAACCATATCGCTGATCAGATCGCATAGCTGCTGTGGGCCAAAAAATAGAATGTAAGCTTTGAACGCACATCTGTGCCAATTTGCAGGAGCCCATGCCTCCGTTGTGCATTCCTACATGCTGTGTGTGTGTGTGTGTGTGTGTGTGTGTGTGTTTTGTGATACATGTTAGCTTTCTCCTGACTGAAGCACAGAGTGTTTGAGGACCAGGACATTCGCAGGGAAACCAAAATGCTTGTTTACATAGCTATTGTACTACCAACCTTACTACAGTGGTACCTCGGGTTACATACACTTCGGGTTACATACGCTTCAGGTTACAGACTCCACTAACCCAGAAATAGTACCTCGGGTTAAGAACTTTGCTTCAGGATGAGAACAGAAATCGTGCGGCAGCGGGAGGCGCCATTAGCTAAAGTGGTGCTTCAGGTTAAGAACAGTTTCAGGTTAAGAATGGACCTCCAGAACAAATTAAGTACTTAACCTGAGGTACCACTGTATATGCTTGTGAAACATGGACCACTTATAAATGCCATCGCCAACTCCTCGAAAGATTCCTTCAACGGTGTCTCCGAAAAATTTTACATATCACTTGGGAAGACAGGTGAACTAATATCAGTGTACTGGAAGAAGCAAAGATCACCAGTGTTGAAGCAATGATTCTTCAACATCAACTTCGTTGGACTGGTCATGTTGTGCAGATGTTTGATTATCGTCTTCCAAAGCAACTACTCTATTCCAAACTTTAAAAGGGAAAGCGTAATGCTGGTGGTCAACAAAAGAGGTTTAAAGACTATCTCAAGGCAAATCTAAAAAAATGTAGTATAAACACCAACAACTGGGAAACACTGGCCTGCGAGCGCTCCAGTTCGAGAACGGCCTTGACCAAAGGTGTCATGAGCACTGAAGATGCTCAAACTCAGGACGATAGGGAGAAATGCGCTAAGAGGAAAGCACGCTTGGCAAACCCTCACCGTGATCAGCTCCCGCCTGGAAACCTATGTCCCCACTGTGGAAGGACGTGTGGATCCAGAATTGGCCTCCACAGTCCCTTACGGACTCACTTTTAAAACCATGTTCATGGAAGACAATCTGACTCGGCTACGAGTGATCGCCAAAGAAGAAAGAAGCAATTGGTGCTGCGTGGATAACTTTGAAATGCATGGATGGATTGGGAGAAGCCCAGGTCCAGAGCTGATTTCCCTCCATACTGTGACAAAGGCCTTCGACACAACTCCTGACTCTTCCGTGCTGTCGGTATGCTGGTGTGCCACCACACTGCCCTTTGGCCACTCTCCCCACCCCCTTTCCTGACAGATGTCCTGTGCCCAGTCCCCACCCCCACCCCAGGAAAGCAAAGTCCAGCCTAGTGCAATGGGATCAAAGGCTTTCTGAGTCGACATTATAGCCCTGATGAAATTGTGCCGATGTTCCCCCCCCCCCCCCCCGCTGGGAGTGAGACGAAAGGTGTGTATTTATGGTTCTGGAAA